TGATCATTATTTTACCTTCCATGATCATTCAGACATGATCAGGTGCAGTACTTACACTCTGTCATGTCTGCATCAAATCAAGCACTCTGTAATCACAGGTAAACTGTCTGATCAGTCAGATGTTTGTCATGAGAAGTGTTCCACAAAACAGCTATGGTTTGAGTTGATGTGACAAATACATCTTTTGAATATACTATGTGAACTCATTGTCCTGTTAGCTTGGAGAGCTTTATTTTCCCCCCCTCAATAAGTTTTGTCAGTTGTTTTGTTTATTGGTCTAATTCTTGTTTCTTGGGTTGCATTGGTTAGTCACTCAATTAATTGTCTTGTGCTTCGTTCCCCCTTCTAAATTATGTTTTATTGATAAGGAGTTATCATAAAGTAAGTCTGTTAATTGTGCTATCTTACAATCAATATATAGTAAATGTAATTTAAAGTGTTGCTGACGTAACCGGTTAAAACTTGGAGTGGCGATGAGGTCTTAAAATGTATGGAAAGAGTCTTAAAAAAGGTCTTAAAGGTATTAAATTTAACTCCATAATTCCTGTATATACCCTGATATAATTAATACAGCTAGTAAATAACACATGCATAACTGCTGCAAATAAGTTTATATTATTTATCAGAAACAAATAATTTGATAATGAATCAAATTCAGTTTAAATAATGATAAAAATAAATGAGATTATTTATTTAGATTTCCCACCATTTAGAGATAGTAAATATCACATGCATTTCAACTGTTGCAAATAAATTTGTTTAATATATTTACTCAAATAATTAGAAGTAAATAATTTGAAAATGAATCCGTTTAAATGTAAACATCAGAATAAATTATATTATATATTTATTATTATTATTATTTTTACCTTTATAATATTTAGAAACTGCTGTTAACCTGATGTTTTTGTTAGTAACTTCCGGTGTAGATAACTGCTCTTTCCAAATGACACAGAGTTTGCAAATATATTGTAGCTTGGTGGGTTGCAGTTTCAAAGTATCGTCCATAACAATTCTGAATTAAAAGGTGCTTTTAAAAATGTTGTCTTCTCTCTCGGTCAGTGTACTATGAGGGACTTCAGGACAAACTGGCGCAGGTGCGTGACGCGCGGGCGGCACTGAATGCTCTGAGAGATGAGCACAGGGAGAAACTGAGACGGGCTGCCGAGGAGGCAGAGAGACAGAGACAAATCCAACTCGCCCAGAAACTAGAGATCATGAGGCAGAAAAAACAGGCAAGTTGCTTTTCTTTTGAGCCTGTGAATCATGTGATGAGGGAAAGCTGACTGTGATTGGTTACTGCAGGAGTACTTGGAGATGCAAAGGCAGCTCGCAATTCAGCGCCTGCAGGAGCAGGAGAAGGAGAGACAGATGCGCCTGGAGCAGCAGAAACACACCATTCAGATGAGAGCACAGATGCCCGTGTTCTCCCTGCCTTATGCACAGGTGCACACTACTACATTCACACATTTGACACATTCAGTGTGCAGATCAATGAATCAGTCATGATAAATATTGTAATGTACAAATTACATATGTATTTGTTAATTATCTTATTTTTATAGATATCTAAATGTTTGCTTTTACTGAGAATTGTATAAGTTAATTGTAGGGCTGGTTGATAGTAAAATTAGTATATTATATATTTGTGTGTGCGTGTATATATTTATTTATTTATTTGACCCTCTAACTCTAGCACTTTCTATTCTATTTTAATTCTATTTTATCTATTTATCTTCCTTTTTTTTAATTAAATTTTTTTAAAATTCTATTCTATCTACTTGTTTTTCTTTGTGTGTGTGTGTGTGTGTGCTACGTGTACTGCGTTAGGCTAACCGAGACTTGTCATTTGCACTTATATATTGTTGCTCTTTTGTTAGTTTTGATTGCCTTTATTGTCCTCATTTGTAAGTCGCTTTGGATAAAAGCGTCTGCTAAATGACTACATTTAAAAATATATATATAATTTGTATTTATTTTTTTTCCCAGTTTTTTTTTTTTATTGTATGTTCTGAAATGCCAAAAAAAGTACAAATCTATTTTAATATATTAAAAAAAAATAATTGTAATGAACACAAGGAAGAATATTTTATCATTTTCATGTGAAGCAAATTTACCAACTGAAGTTTAAATAAGAGACAGTCTTAAAACATCTCGGTCTTTGCGGTCTCAGTCTCTTTCATACGTGACACACCCGCACACACACACACACACACACACACATATATATATAT